TGTAAAAGAAAAACACCATTTTGTGCCAGCATGGTGAAAATTTCATGTCATTAGCACCTCTAGTAATATATTTACCGAGAAAAATGGTGACGTGTTCAATACTTATTTTACCCGCTGTATGTATGTATATACATATCTATGAAATGCAGGATTTCTAAACCTTTGGAAATGAAGGAGGAAGGAAAAAAMATTTTAAATAAGTTTGGGAGGATTTTTATCAGAGGTTTTAGTTTTAAGACAGATTGAGATGTTATTCCAAATGTAACCAAGTCAAACTGTATTTATAAAATACATTCCAAAGAGCAAAAACATAAAAATACCAACTATTTAATAAAGAATCAAAACCTGTATATCTTTATTCTGATGTTAAACTCATCTTCATCTTATTGTACGTTTTATTATAGCTCGACTTCTCCTCAATGTGAAATCAAGGGGAACGGTGCAGCCGAAGGTTAAAGAAATTAATTTAATTTTAAAAAGAAAGAATTTTCTGCTCCATTTTGTTGGACCTTTTAATGATATTCACAATCCGGTCCAACGTGCCGCAGCAGATGGTGGAAAGGAGCACATTAAAAACACCCGGACAGGTAATTTGACAGAAAAAAAAAAAGGCAAAAAAAAATTGACTTTCAAATCCTTTAGCTGCTGTTATTGAGTGAAGTGCCGGCTCACTGTGTTATTATCAGGATGTCAAAGCTCATCCATCTGAAGCAACGTCCAGATTTATTTCTGCTGCCGGCCGGAGAGCTGTTTGATGAAGGTGAATGTTGTTGGACCAAGGTCTGCTTTTATTCCTTCAYAGAGCAGAGGTCCTGCTGCAGACAGGAACTATTTACTGAGCTTCTCTGTAACATTTAAAGCTTCACACAGCTCTGTTKTAAAGTTAGCTTCATCACCATGACTCTGGTTCTGATCCAAGCTCAGATCATCCTGGATCCATTTATCCCAAACATGTCCYGTTGATGAAATTCGGGACCTTTTCCCTGAAAAACGTGCAGCCATCTTCGCTTGTTTCGGATGACTTCACTCACAGAGGCCTGTTTTCAGAAAGCATCAGAGTGTTTCACATGTTTATGTTGTGATGACTCAACCTGAACAAGCAGCATCGTTACAGAGTGAAAAAATAAAAAGCTTCCAGAGGCTCTGTTTGCAGCYAAACAGCCTTTTCAGCTTTTCCAAGAAGCACAATTTGTTTTTTAAATAAAACATGAAACTATTTTTAAACTTCATTTTGTCCTGAGATGACCTCTTTAACAACTCTTTATTGGTCAAAAGACAAAGAAAATCTAAAAATAAAATGAACATTTTTATTCCTTAAAGAAGATTTTAAACACTATTCAGGACAGAAGTTCATGTTTTGAGTTTGTTTTATATTTTTTAACTCACAACTTCACAAGGTGCAAAAAAACAAAACAAAAAAGAAGCTGAAATGAAGCATCAGTGTTGTATAAAGTACCACAAAGTGATACTTGAGTAAAAGTACAAGTATTTTATCAAAAACTTATTTTGGTAAAAGTTAAAGTCTCCTTTAGGAATATTACTTGAGTAAAAGTACAAGTATTTTATCAAAAACTTATTTTGGTAAAAGTTAAAGTCTCCTTTAGGAATATTACTTGAGTAAAAGTACAAGTATTTTA